GGTGGATCCCATCCAGCCCCATAGACTTGTAAGTGTCTAGGTGGCACAGCAGTTAGTTAACTCCCTCCTCCTGGATTATGGGAGGTTTGTTCTGCTCTCCTTCCCTATCTTCTAGCACTGGGGGCTGACTACCCTGGGGATAAGCAGTCTGACTATTAAAGACTGAGGTGAAGAAGGCATTAAGTACCTCAGCCTTTTCCTCATCCCTGTTGACAATATTCCCCCTCACATACGATAAGGGATGGAAATTCTCCTTGGCCCTCTTGTTGTTGTTGATGTACTTGTAAAAACATTTTTTATTGTCCCTTACAACAGTGGCCAGCCTGAGTTCTAGCTGGACTTTTGCCTTTTGAATTTCCTCTCTGCATGACCTAACAAGACCCCTGTACTCCTCTTCAGTCGCCTGCCCTTTCTTCCATAGGTAGTAGACATATTACTCCAGTACTAACACGGATCTCATGTTTAGTATAAAAATCACTTGGAGAGCAATGTGATTCCGAGGTTTATGAAACAATCTTTGTTTGTTCTCAGCCGTTTCTAAAGATTGACTTCATTTATAAAGCCAGCTTCAAGCTCTTTTCATGAGGAGTGCCGCTTGATGAAAATGTGTGGTTTCGCAAACTCTGCCATTTTGCTTTTGGCACTATGAATTTGCTTGTGTAATTGAGGATACACAGGGTGGATGCGTGTAATAAAAATCCTTGACATTCCTTGTAGGCTGAGTGGGTGAATGTGAGCTTCCACAATCGGGAATCAGTTATGAGACAATACAGGGGTTTTGTAGGGCAAGCACCAAAGTCAGTAAGGAACAAGTAAATTGTTTCCAGGGGAACCTGTGTAGGAAAATACTTATCCATCCTTCCAGAAAAAATCTGCCGTTAAAGACTGCTATTTCTAGTGCCTCTGTTCTTGTTTATGTAGGACATTAATGGGTGCCTTGAAATTAAATCTTGGTGGTGCTCCAGAAGGACCTGCTGGGACTGGCAAAACAGAAACAACAAAAGATCTAGCAAAAGCACTAGCTAAGCAGGTACCAAAATAGAAACTTTTTTTCTTTGCATAGTTTATGTTTGGATATGTAGATATTTCTTGAAATGCCATTCTTAAGTGAGTACTGCTTGTTCTGTACATATAATAGTTGATAAGAAGCACGCGTTTAGGACTGTGTCTATATGACATTTTAGTGTTGTAATCCAAAATTAGCAATAACAATCCCTTCCCATTTTAGATGCTAGGAATTTTATAGTGGACTTTGTAAATACTGACAGATGTTCTCTGTGTGTTTTGTTTTTTTTTTTTTGTAGTGTGTGGTCTTTAATTGCTCCGATGGTCTCGATTATAAGGCAATGGGCAAGTTCTTTAAGGGATTGGCACAATCTGGTGCATGGGCCTGCTTTGATGAGTTCAATAGAATTGAGGTAACATTTTAACTTAGACAAATAAGACGATAAAGCTTTAATTTAAGACACAAGAAATTTTAGATTTAGACGTGACAGCATTATTGCCGATTTTCTAGTTTTATTTGTGATATAGCCTCTGTTTTGATAAACACTGACACACAAATAGGTACTCAGCTGTCTGCTGTAGAAGCATATGCCCACTTGTGCTGTGTTGCAGAAGTCTTGTGTTCTGGGTTATTTTAGCTGAAAAAATTGTTCCTATGCAATTTCCTCTTTTGTATGTGACACTCATTTGTTGGGAAAGAACAGTCCTTCTCTTTTCCTTGAGACACTGTGAGCTACAGCTGTGGGGCTGTGTTCATCTATGTTCAGGACAAGGCAGACAAATCCCAGTTGAGGGATTCTAGTGACAACTAGCTGAGTGTCACTAACTGAATGACCTGGTTAACTAGCTGGGTAACCAGACACATCGAATCCCCTCCTTGGTCTTACTCTGATTGTTCTGTTTTTTAATTTGGTCACTGACTTTGAATAAGTTTTATTGTTATTTTGATGGAGTTAGATTTAAGTAAATACTAGTAAATGTGGAAATTCCGTGAAGATCTATTTTGCATGTTTTATTATACTTAACACCTTAATTTCTCTATTTGTCTGATGCAACTTCTTTTTTAATGAACTGAGGTGTTGGCATTCTTGTTTTCCAATATTCTGTTACCTTGATACTTTACAGCACTGAAGACTGGCCCTAGGCTGCCTTACCCCTTTACGTTTACCCTCAATTTGTGGCATTGAGTGAATCAGTCTTTCTGAAGAGCCTGAATTCTTTTTCTGAGGTGAAAGGAAAGTGCTTTTGGAGGCCTCCAGAGGGAGTTCCTGTCCACCTAACTTAGATGTCTACGGTCAGGCAGATGGTATTTCCCGTTCGAGGCTTTTAGGATCCTGCGTTGACCTGTCTGTGTTGGTTGAGTAGGGAGCAGTGGCACTAACTCTCAGAGGATTGCTTCAATAGACAGCTAATACTTAAGCCCAGTTATCAGACACAGGGTGATTTTTCAACTGTAAGAATGCAAATACAGCTGTCAAAATATATAAACAAAACCATTTTATATTGCCTCCAGGTGTCTTACGTTTTCCAATTTGTTCTGTCTGTGTTAGGTTGAAGTATTATCTGTAGTTGCCCAACAAATACTTAGCATCCAGCAAGCTATTATTCGCAAACTCAAAACATTCATCTTTGAAGGGACAGAGATCTCTCTTAATCCTACATGTGCTGTGTTTATCACAATGAATCCTGGGTACGCTGGACGGGCAGAGCTGCCTGATAATCTGAAGGTAAATCTGAAATCCTGATTTCTTGTAGAAATTAAACAGAATTTGCACCTTTTGTTCTATTGTAATAAGGAAAGGAAGGCAGCAATCAAATAGTACACTGATAACCCTTTCAAATGTTTTCTGCTAAGCTTTAATAAATGTTCAGGGTTGTCCAAAATGCACAGGTGAAGGGTCTCAGTCTAATTGTACTGATACCAGTTCACAGCTTAAACTGTGCTCTCTAAGTGGAAATTCTCCTGGTTTACAATGGCCTGGTGATCCAAATCCCAATTTAAATTTGTTATAACTCTACAAGTTGCTGAGACACTGCAGAAAGACTGATATGGTCCTAGTTCTTTTCCTAGCATTGCCACAATTTTTTTGGATGACCTTTTACAAGACATTAACCACACCATGTGCTAGTTTGTTTCTTATGAAAGTGAGATGAAAGACACCTCCCTTTTCCTCTTTTAGTAGTTCTTTAGGATTGTGACTCTTTCTAAACATTTGTTGCTACAGTGTTTAGCACAGATCTCTTGAACATCTTCATAAGGTCATAATAGAATAGAATTCTAATGCAATCTCATAGATTTCAGATGATTCCTAAAGTCATGAAGATGGAATACAGAGTATAGAAGTTCATGAACTTATGGAGAGATACTATTCTTACAAAACAGGCACAAGTTATTGTCGTACTCCATAGTCTAAGCTGACGTCTTTTTTTCTTATAGGCACTGTTCCGAACAGTTGCCATGATGGTTCCGGATTATGCTTTGATTGGAGAAATTTCACTTTATTCAATGGGATTTCTGGACTCTCGGAGGTAAGACATGCTGAATTTTCCACTTTAATTGAGTCTGATATACCTTATTCCTTTATAAAGCATATGTGTATGTTTCAGGCATACAGTTCTGGAAGGCTGTCCATGTTCCGTTCCTCCAGAAAGTACTTTTTAATCTCCTACTTTCTCATCAATTTTCATTTGCCACCTCATGTTGACATATATGCACCTCTACACAAGATCGTTTGGAAAACATACCATTATATCAAACTGAATTCCTAAATGGCACACACATTCTCTGTCATCGCATAATCTTTTACATTTTGCTTTGTAGGTGTTTTGGGCCATCTTGTCAGCTGGTATGTCTGATAATCACTGCAGTTACTTTGTGTATATGGGTACTTAAATTATTTTCCTTGCATGGTGAGATATTTTCAATCTACATGTGGTATTTTAATATCCACAGTCTCGCCCAGAAAATTGTTGCCACTTACCGGTTGTGCTCTGAGCAGTTGTCATCTCAGTGTCACTATGACTATGGAATGCGTGCTGTTAAATCTGTCCTGACAGCAGCAGGAAACTTAAAACTGAAGTACCCAACTGAAAATGAAAGCGTATTACTACTTCGGGCTTTGCTGGATGTTAACTTGGCCAAATTCTTGGCACAGGATGTGCCATTGTTTCAGGTAAGCTATCAGGCTGGGGTGTTTGATGATGAGGTCTGTTATAAGAACCTACAGAAACAGGTCATTATCTTAATTTAGAACAGTTTGATCTAGATGCTGCCATATTAGTGTAGAGTTATTTCAGTCCACTGATCTGATTGCACTCTTTGGTTCTGTTAGTGTTATTCTGAAAAACACACTTAAAGTGGTACCTTTTAAGTTATTCTATAAAATGTTTTATAAGATATCCTTCTAAAAGGTACTTTGTGCTGTTTCATTCGTGGAAGCCATTCTTTGAAGTTTGCATTCTGGCTTTGTGCTGCAAAAGAGATTTGAACACCTAAATTATGGTCAGTTAAAAATCTGAAGTCAGAATAAAAATGACGAAGTTTCTGCTAACATGCTGCTTGAATGGAAAATGAAGACTATGCTAAGCTACAGAGTAATCAGTATTAAAGACCTAAAAGCTAGGGTACAAGCACACACAGAATCATTGCTCTGAAGCTGCAGAATACATACACTTCTATTTAATCAATGAAATTCTTTCAACCACTTTCACATCCTTTCCTGTAATACTTTTTGGGGCAAATTTGCAGGAGGTTAAGCTTCCTCATACTAAATCCAAAACACAGCAGCTACTGGGAAGAAAATTAACTCTATCCCAGCCGAATCTAGGACACCTTTACAGTACCAGTATGCGTATGAAAAGTGCAGGCACTCATTTCCATCTCATGCATGCAGAATACTTTCATGGCTACTGTTTGCCTAGACGTTAGTTATGTCCAGCTGAAGACATTTCCTCTTAAGCTCCTGTTAACTGTATGAATATTGTTTTACTTGTAGATTTTTATGCTTTGGAAATTTTCCCTTTCTGTAACCTATGTTTAAATACTGTTCTGTTCTGTTTTTCCTTAACAGGGCATCATATCTGACCTGTTTCCTGGAGTGGTTCTTCCTACACCTGACTATGGCCTGTTTGTCCAGGCACTAACTGAAAATATAAAAAAAATGGATCTTCAACCAGTTCCGTGGTTCACTGGGAAAATTATTCAGGTTTATTTTCACATACTTAACTTCTGGTAGAAAAGTGTGAGAGAAAAAATATTCTTCATTCACTGTCTGTCTGTATCATGAATGAATACCTAATAGTTTCCAAGATCAATTAATAGAATATTACAAATAGCATATTTTTACTGAGTAAAATCACGGAGTAAAAGCTTGCTTTGCTCATAATGATTTTTTAATTCAGCCAGCCTGTGAAGGAGTTAACGTGTGTAGTCACATCTTAGGTCTTACGGTTCAGGATAGAAAATTAAACTGAATCTCTTTATTAGCTGAGGCAGTGTAGCCCAGTGAACAGAACTCTTGACTGGGAGTCTGGCTTTGTTCCCAGTTCTGCTCACAGTCTCCTTGAGAAGTCTTGAAAGCGATGACATTTCTCACCCTTGCTTATGCTTCACCGCCAAGTTTCCATTGTCTCCCATTTTACTAGTATTAGTGACCTTTTAAAGAATGCTTAACTTTTTTGATTTTTTCCCTTGTGAGTAGTGCAGCCTAGTGACAATGTAATGGCAGGGGCCAAAATGCATGGCCTGGGGCAGAAACATGAAGGGCCCCTCCAGCAGCAGTTCAGACTTCATGGCTTATGTTCAGACTTGGCTTATGCTTCTTTGCAAACCATGCTTTATTCTTCATTTAAGTAGAGGTAGTATTAACTGGTTAGGAATTTAAGCTAAGCCAGAAAATATCAGCCTTAACCTGAGATAAAGAAAAAAAATCTCAGGGCTTCTTCTTACAGGTCTGTTTGAAGGTGTTCTGTGTGATGGCTTTGACTTGAGTTCTGGCAAGATCTTGTTGGATGACTGGAGAAGTGACCACCCTTGCAGTTCAAAGTCAGCCTCTGTGGGATCTGTCATATGACAGATCCTCAGAACTGTAGTTTCAATCCCTTTGTGTTAGCGTCATCGGTAACCACTGATTTCAGTTTAGGTTTTTACAGTGGGCTGTGATCTATAGTGTCTGGTTAGTGCACTCACACCCTGTACAATGACGCTGTTACAACTGAGGGATGACATTTAGCGAGGAGAAAGGGAGGATGTCTCGGGGCGAAGGCCTCTTAAATTATATCAGTGAGAATTGCTGTAATAATATGATGGCCTTCTGATTTGAGTTAATGCTTCGGTCAGCCTTAATAGAATGCAGATATTTGGCTGATATTTTGTCCTGGTGGGTCTGAGTGCAGGAGAGATACCTCTAGTTTCATACACATAATGCTTGCTTTTGTGCTATGTTAAAGAGTCAATCTCTTGTCACTGGTACAGATATACGAAATGATGCTGGTGCGCCATGGCTTCATGATTGTTGGAGATCCTTTGAGTGGGAAAACCTGTGCGTACAAAGTGCTGGCTGGAGCCCTTGGCGATTTGTGCGCAGGTAACATTGTTCAGCTATAAACTTCTCATTAAATTAAGTTATTTCTATGACTAATATTTTTCCTTTGCAGAGATATGCCCAGGTTGTTAATTGTCCTATATTCTGCTTGCTTGACTTGAAAGTTTGTGTTCATTGAACTCTTTTTGTCTGGTATATTTGTCTGGAAGTATTTTTACTGGAATAGGAAAACATACTAATGTGTTTATGCTTTTATGAATTTTGTTAAGCATTGTATTTGTGCATAATACACTTGAAAAAGCTAGCTCTGATAGGGAGACTGTAAGTAGCTCACATAAACATATAAAATCTATTCTGCTCTGCTTTTTTTTTTTTTTTTCCATGTGCTTTTGCGCATAGGACTTTGTACTTTCCTTGTGCAAGTAATCAAATTTCTTATTTACTGCTACCTGTCTGCCAAATATCTGAGTTTTTTTGCCTTGGGCGGCTAAAGTAGGATCCTCAGGAATCTTCTTGCTCTGTACTTCAGCTGTTGAATAAAACTAACCTAGCAAATTCTCAAGCTCATCTATTTGTCTTTTTACACAGCAAAATCCATGGATGAATTTGCTGTTGCGTACAAAGTTATTAATCCCAAAGCAATTACTATGGGACAGTTGTATGGCAGTTTTGATCCTGTAAGCCATGAGTGGACAGATGGAGTTCTTGCAAATGCTTTCAGGGAACAAGCGTCTTCTACCACAGATGATCGGAAGTGGATTATTTTTGATGGCCCAGTGGATGCAGTTTGGATAGAGAACATGAACACTGTGCTGGATGATAATAAAAAGGTAGCCCAATTTTTGCCAGTAACCTTGTCCTTGATTATACATACCTTATTTTAGTAGTAGCAATATCTGATGTGCTTAAAAGCATTGTTTTTTTGCCGAATTATATGAGTGGGTTTAGTAGATGATATTAAGCTGTTACTTCTCCCTAGAAGCCTTGTCTTACTCCTACTTTATGGAAATGAGGTTGCTCATTGTGGCTTTTTTGTTGACCCTTTTAGGAAACTGAAATACATAAACTAAGTTCTGTAACTGAAAACTGAACTGGCTTAAATTGCTTAGTGAATAAGTTAAAAAAAAAAAAAGCTGCAGGTCATAACTGCTTTTTCTTGCAGATTGATTTAAAGATAGAGCATTGTTCTCTGTGTCTCTGCAAGCCATTACAGTAACACGTGGAAAATTTGAGACAAGGTCAGAAAATATCATGCATTGTGAGAATAGGAGTGAGCGAATGAGGAATGACACTAAGTAGAATGTTCAGTGATTTCATGACAGGCATTGCTTTGAGTAAATGATCCACACTGACAAGACTAGATCATGTTTATGTGATGCTCTTCTTCTAGCTATGCTTAATGAGTGGTGAAATAATTCAGATGAGTCCAAAAATGAGTTTAATCTTTGAGCCGGCAGACTTAGAGGAGGCATCTCCAGCAACTGTCAGCAGGTAATGTGAAAGCATTCAGACTTGAACTGTCCCACCTTGCACATCTATTCCTGTACCATAGTTGTTTGTTCTTCCCAGGTGTGGGATGATCTATATGGACCCGCAACAGTTAGGTTGGAAGCCATTGAAGGATTCGTACATGAAAACACTGCCTCCAAACCTGCAGGAAGAACACCGAGAGCTGGTGCGAGACTTAATTTTTTGCATAGGTCTAATTTAGAAGATTAACTTTAAGGTGATGTTCACAGTTTGCCCACTCAAAGGCAGGCATGCAGAATCAAAACTTTTTGAAGTACTTTCATGATTTAGAGGGTCTCAGATCTCTTAGGGACTTCTGTAAATTATTTTGTAGTGATGAATGTCAAACGTTGTTGCAAGGAAGGTGCCTGAGAGCTGGAGATGCCATGAGTATTAGTAGTGCAATGTGGGAAAAAGTGGAATGTTCAAAATGTTTTGAATTCGTTCTTCTTCTGTCTAAGACATCAGAGTTTAGCTTGAGAAATGCTTATAATTAATATTATTATCATTAACAGCTTGATCTTCAAAGTCTTAGTTACCTCATGAATCCTTGCTAAATAGTCTTTTGTGTACTGGATTGCTTGCAGGAATGAGAGCTCTTTGTGTAGTGTATTGTAGTATATCTTCAGTGTAGATGCAAATAAAAGTGCATGTTGGTGGGAATCAGCTTTTAATCTTATAAAAATTAAAACTCCCTTTTAATGGGCATTGAAATCTAGTAACAGAATCAGAATAAGATTGTCCACAATAGGATTGGAGCTAGAGAAAACATTGATTTCTATGATTTGACAAGACCCTCTGAGTTTTTGCAGGAAACTGGGACCAAATTCAAAAGAAGTACCAAGACTAGAAGAGCTCATTACTGACAGTTTTCTTAGTTCATCAAAACAAAATAATTATTCTTTAACCAACAGATAGCTTGACCCTTTACTGTGCTCCTTGGCTACTAGTCCCTGGGAAAAGGCTAGGTCATGACTCCTCTCCTGTCTTCCTGCTTGAGTTCATGGAGCAGATACCACCAGCCATGGTCATTATTTGCCTGCATGCTGTGGCACTCCTGCTTTCTGGAATTTCTGCTGTGGCATAGTATCTGCTTGTGCTGTTTAAGGGAGGATGAAGCCCTTGTCTTTGTTTCTGTTGGAATAATTTTGTTGTTGCCTAAGCAAAGTAGCAGTCTTCCTAGGCTGAGCTACTGCTCTGCTGTCTGGATTAATAACTGGGTAAAAAAGTGCCTGCTGAAAACTTCTCCTTTGTATAAGCAACTTGTTTTCACCATCAGATAATGATGGTGTGACTTCGATTGCTGAAGTACTGCCTCACACAGGACCTTTCCTGATCTTCCCTCTGGCAATTTGGAGAATTTCTGATGCCTTATGTTTTATTGAGAGAGAATTGAGGGACAGTGGGAAATGTGGCAACTCCTGCATTGTTTTAAAGCCATTTCATTTTTTCCTGGTAGGTCAATGACATGTTTATGTGGCTAGTCCAGCCCTGTTTAGAGTTTATTCACCTTCACTGCAAAGCCATTGTACAAACGTCCTCTATTCATCTAAGTTATAGCTTGATGAAACTCTACACTTGTCTGCTTGGTAAGTACCCTAAGCCTTATTATTTTTATTTCATTTTTTTTTTTCCTGCTGTGTCCCGTGACAAGATGCAGGTTATCAGATGCAAGGAAATGCCAAAGGAATTCCTTACTTTTGAGATCGTACATCACAAGTCCTTTCTCCCTGATCAGAATTAATAATAGTTATTTGACTAGCATACAGACCTCTCACATTTGGATGCTGGTGTCATTACCAAACTGAACATGATCTTGTGAGTGTATTCCATATGTTTTGCTTGCTGTTTGCTAGCATCTGAAGAAAAGAATTAGGACCCTTTTTATATTTTTTTTTCTCATTTATTTTTGTTTGTAAACAGTATTTTACACAGAGGAGATCCTCACTCTGTAGATTGGCTTTGTTCCACCAAAGACAATGCTCTAAGTTTATCTCAGAATACTTCTGCAAAAATGCATTTTGAATTGGGATTTATGGTTATTACTGGCATTTAACTAAAATTCAAGATATGTGTTTTAGATGAAATAAAGCAAACCGAGGAAGAGGAGAAGGAAAGCATGTCTAGTCAGCAGATCATCTTGTGGCTGCAGGGGCTTTTCATTTTTGCTTTGGTTTGGACAATTGGTGGGATCATCGATGCAGACAGCAGAAAGAAATTCGATTTGTTTTACCGCAACTTGCTAATGGGAATGAATGATGAAAACCCACGCCCTAAAAGTGTGAAGCTTACCAGAAGCAATATCTTCCCAGAAAAAGGTGCTTCTTCATAACTGTACTTGCCTGGTCTTTTATAAAGCAATAAGAATACTTGGTGCATTAAGGGAGAATAGAGTGCCTCGCAGATGTTAATTCTGTAGCAGAGCCACCATCTGTCAAGCCTTGGGCTGCACAGTTGCGTGCTTTTTCCTGGCTCTTTTAACCAGGAGTAACATACGCCTCATGTTGTACTTGAAACAATGTAGGTGAATCGTGTACTGGGAAGCCTTCATTATCTCACAGCGTTGGAGGTCTCATGCTAAAATGATTGAAGTTTGTTTTTATTCTTTAATCAGTGGGTTTTCCTATGTTGTGTTTTTCAATTAACAGGGAGTGTTTATGACTTCTATTTTTACAAGCATGGCAGTGGGCAGTGGAACTTGTGGACAGAGTACCTCACAAAAGAAGAGCAAGTTATCTCCCCAGGGGCTAAGGTTCACATTGATATCTTTCATTATAGAAAATAATTATTTGACTAAATGATATAGAGGTATAAATCAACTACCTTAGCTAGCTCTGATTCTACTATATCAGGCTGTTTGATCTGCAACATTTCATTAATCTCTGTAGGCTCCTTTTCATGCTTATGCCTTAATTCTGGTACCATCAACATTGAAAGTTCAGCACTGTAGGTGAACGTGGAGCCCTGAAGATGGCTGGTGGTTAGATTTTTGGTTCTGTTTTTGTCTCTAATAGCATCTGATGTTGGGGAAATCATGGTAGGAAAAAGCCAAAGCCTGAATTTCCGTTCCCTGTTTGTTTTTTTTTTCCTGTGGTTGATATTATGGTGTTATAGTTATGAGTTAATCAGAGAAAGCAAGCAAAGGGACTCACTGCTTCTCTGGGACATGGAGAGCAGTACTGAGAGTCCTGGATCCCCTCCATTTCCAAATAGGGGCCCTCACATTTTGAATGGCAGCTGTGAAGGGAAGTGTAGCACAGCAGAGAGCTACAAAAAGTACCTATCCTGCAGCTGAAATTTCAAGATAACTTGTGATGTTTGTTCAGCTTTTCATTCTATTATAGTTGCAACTGTCTGGTCTATTAAGTACCTGAGAGATGTAAGATTACATTTCATTCTGCTGTCTAAAATCTTTTCTTGGTATCTAGTGCACAGCTGCTAATGGTAAGTGGAAGATGAGGAAGAGAAAAAAAAATTCTATAGCACTGTTCCTTTCCCTTTGCACAGTAGGAGAACATAATTAAGCCATACTTAACCCTGCAGTTCTCCTTCCTGGCTTTATATAGTGTCTGTGAACCATAATATATATGTTATAGTTGTGCTATTTACTGTATATACGCTGAACAAGAAGTGGGGCCATACTATCTAACAGAACCTTGTTACAGCCTAGGTTTTCAGAGAAAATAATTTTTTAAAAATGCATTTGTGCTACAGGGTTCCTGTAGTTGCTTGCAAATAGTCTTGTTGATTAAGGCATTAGATGTTTGATTTTCATGTGCTATTTTACTTTCCTGTGTAACAGGTATCTGAGCTTATCATTCCAACAATGGAAACTGCCAGACAAATGTTTTTTCTTAAAACATATGTGGAGCATAATGTCCCTTTGCTTTTTGTGGGTCCCACTGGCACTGGAAAATCAGCTGTAACAAACAATTTTCTACTACAACTTCCAAAGCAAAAATACATCCCAAGCTTCATCAATTTCTCTGCAAGAACCTCTGCTAACCAAACCCAAGATATTATTATGTCCAAGCTGGACAGAAGAAGAAAAGGATTATTTGGACCTCCTTCGGGGAAAAAAGCTATAATATTTGTGGGTAAGGCAGTTTTTTTAAGGATTTTTATATCGTTTTAATTCTGGCTTTAGGCAAAGGACGTGATTCACTGAGACTAGTAATTTTGAATTGCCTCAGTGCTCTGTGGTTTTTTTCAGGCATCCACAGAAGGATTAGTACTGCCCCCTGCTGAAAGGTTTCTCTTTAAGTGATGTTCGGGATAGTTCATACAGATGCAGTGTGACACGAAATAAAATAAAACAAAATCACCAACCACACTAAGTTCAGCCATCACCTCTAAGCATGCCTGTGAAGTATAATGTCATTTGATTCTAGTTAGTTTAACGTGAAGCAAGAATAACAAGGCACAACCTTTTTCCGCCTCTAGTTCATAGCTTTGAAAGAAAACTGTAATTCCTGAACATTTGAGGTTTTCCTATTCAGTGTCTGTGTTCTCCTTAGATGACCTAAACATGCCTGCAAAGGAAGTGTATGGAGCCCAGCCACCTATTGAGCTTCTCAGACAGTGGATTGATCATGGTCACTGGTACGACAAGAAAGATATGTCCAAGATTAGTATCATAGATGTGCTGCTTGTTTCAGCTATGGGTCCACCTGGGGGAGGAAGGAATGATATTACAGGTAGGAAATATATTACTATGGCAAGTGGTTGTCTAATTGACTGAAGTTAAGAGGCAGGTTCAGTTTTGCTGATGACAAATTCTACATTTGTCTATTACTTGTAAACCTACAGATACGTCCACTGGCTGGGTCATTCCAAATAGAAGTCTGTATGCTCAAGGTCAAATCTGTACCTTTTCCAAGGGGAGTTTAAGAAACAATGTTTTTAATGTTGATTGAACCACGAATGATGAAAATTACTCTAAATTTAGAGAATTAGATGCTTTTTCCATTTTTCTATTCTTTGGAAAAGGGAGGGAGTGCATCCTCTTGCCAAGTCTTTCTGGCAGTTCTGTTCTAAAATTTTATCTCCTGCTGTGAAGACAGGCTGCCTGCATTTAGTTACAAGCATGTTGCCTGCAAGTCCATGGTTCCTGTCATATGACCATAAAGGAGGTTGTATTTTCTAATGAAAAAGTTATGTCAGTAAAAGCCCTAATGTAGCTACAGCTACACCTTTATAAGGTACTTTATGCTACTTTGCTTCATATAAACACTCTAATACTTGTATAACTGGATGTGCTTTGATGAGGCTTTATTAAAATAACTATTCTGGTTACAGCTAAATTTGTAAAATTTACTAGTGTATAGACTGAATTTTTTTAGACGAAAGCTGGTAACAAGATACTTCATTTTGTAAAGTTTTACTGTGTGATATCACAATCAACAGGGCTAATGTGAGCTGAAATTTGATTTTGGGTAATAGTGGCCTTGTTGTAATGGAGATTCATGGTTTTTGTGTTAAGAAAAGTGAAATACAGATATAAAATATAAACCGGTTTATTTTTCTTTTGCATCACTGCTGGGGCAGAAATTTGGGAGAAATGAAATCATGGAGCTGAAGCCAGATTCAAATTATGTTGTTTGAGTGACAGTCAATCATAGCTAGCTGAAAGGTGGAAAAATGTTTGGACATTTCTAAATCTGTCTGCATCTTTTTGTGTGTATTACAGGACGCTTCACACGGCACTTGAACATTGTATCTATCTGCTCTTTTGATGATGACATATTAACCAAGATTTTTACTGCAGTTGCTGATTGGCACTTCAGCAAAGGCTTTGAGCCAGTGTTTCTAAGGTAATTTGATATATTTCTTGTAATACCTTTGTCATCTTTTCTCCTGTGATTTATTTGCAGAAATTAAAATTGTATCTCTTTTTCTTCTTAAGGCTGGGAAAGGTGATGGTCCAAGCGACAATGGCAATTTATAAAATGGCGGTTGATAATTTTCTCCCAACTCCTTCAAAATCCCACTATGTCTTTAATCTACGGGATTTTTCCAGAGTTATTAAAGGAGTGCTGCTCTGTCCACACACGCATTTGCAAGTAAGTTGTAGTTTAATTATGTTGCTGTAAGAAAAAGCAATTGAAAAAGTATGTTATTTTTATAATATCAGTAAGTAAACATCTCAAAATACATGAACTGTGATTTCAATAGTTTTACAGAGTTTAAAATCAGGATAGTCCCTGAATACCTTGCTATATATTTTGTGTCTCTGAAGGAGACAGCTGTCATTTTTGTTAATCTTCTCTACATGTATTACAGTTGGGCCCAGAGATCCAAGGCCCATCTGTAAGGGCCTGTACATCAAGTCAGACGGTTCCTTCTCTTGAATTTGCAAACTAAATATACAAAAGAAACAAATGTGGGGAAAGACTCAGTATCTCTCTTTTACAAATGGCAAGCTCATCAGTGAACAAGACTGAATAATTTAGCCCCAGGTTTGCCCGTTGTCACAAACTACAAATGTATATGTACACAAATGTATATGATTTTCATCCTTCTACATTTTTAATCCATTTTCAGTAAATGTCAGGTTAAAGGAGTATTAAAAGTTGTATTTGCAACAGTTTTGGGCAGGGCTTGGGTTAGAGCCCATGAGCCATATCTTTGAAAGATTTGTTCTTTACTTTATGTTGGAAGAGTGGGAAGATTTGATACAGTAGAGAAAAGTGCTTTGACATAAGAGTCCCAGTTTGGATTGGCATGAAGGACAAGATCGGTAACTAGGTGAGAAATCCAGTTAAGTTAGCAGATGCTGAGCCATGTGCTGAACGCCTTGGAACTGAAAGATTCCCACTGAGTTTAGTACAAGATATAGCACGGTCCAGATGGACATTTCTATCCTTTTGTTTTTAAACAAATTCTGCCTGAGCTATATTTACCCATTTTCTTGTATTTACATTTTCAGGATGGAGATAAACTGATCAGACTTTGGATTCATGAGGTTTACCGAGTTTTCGGTGATCGCTTAGTTGATGAGGAAGACAGAAAGTTATTCTTTCAGATGGTACAAGAGACAACATCAAATAGCTTCAAGCAGAGCTTTAATAAGGTATTTTTGCGTAATGTGCTGGGACCAAGAATGAGAATGATGCATTTTCAGAAATACTTAGATATTGAGGTTACACTAGTATTGAACACAATTTGAATTATTTCGATCAGTGCATTTAAAAAGTATGGATTGTTCTTAGTCAAGTTAATACAAATTACTGCTTATCAGAAATATTCATGACTTCAAAAGCATTCTGTGTTGGTACAGAGGACTATCTGGAATAAATGCCTTACACAATATTTGTCTGTGCTTTTGCTGAAGTTAATATTTGGATGAGCCAATAGGAGTAGTGGGTACTTTTCTGAGAAGACTTTTGGGAACTTGTCCTATATTAGACAGCAAAATGTCTCTGTGAAGTATGCATATCTGGAAACTTGCATGTCACAACCTACAGCATATTTGCCATTTAGGATTTTTTTGAGTGTTTTGTCTTGGTTTTTTTCTCCAGACTAAGGTAATAACTAGAATAGCTGGAAAACAGTGCTTCCCACAGTATTATTACTGCGTACATAAGAATGATGATGACTTTAAGGAAAATAATTCTTTAATAGTTTGAATTATCTGTTGATTCTTGTCTTTTCTCTAGGTACTGAGTCATCTCTCACCTACTGGAAAGATCTCTGATGATAGTATTCGCAGCCTGTTCTTTGGAGACTATTTGAAGCCAGACAGTAATGTAAAAGTATATGATGAAATCAGAGACTTAAAACAACTGATAACCGTGATGGAATACTACCTTGAGGAATACAACAATATCAGCAAAGCACCGATGTCCTTAGTCATGTTCAAGTTTGCTGTTGAGCATATCTCAAGGATATGCAGGGTACTGAAACAGGATAATGGACATCTCTTGTTGGTGGGGGTTGGCGGGAGTGGTCGGCAAAGTGCTACCAAGCTAGCCACCTACATGAATGCCTTTGAACTCTTTCAAATTGAAATTACGAAGTCCTATGGAATCAGTGAGTGGAAAGAAGATGTTAAGCGAGTCATGCTGAAAGCAGGTGTTGCTAACAAGAGTGTGTCCTTTTTGTTCTGTGATAATCAAGTAAAGGATGAATCATTTGTAGAAGATATCAACATGCTTTTAAATACCGGTGATGTGCCTAATATCTTTGCAACAGAAGAGAAAGCTGAAATTGTTGAGAAAATGCAAGGTGCAGCAAGGCTGGAGAACAGGAAAATTGAAGCCACTCCCCTTGCTATGTACAATTTCTTTACTGAAAGGGTGAAGAAAAATCTGCATATTGTCTTAGGTCTGTATGCAATGTGTTATTTCTTAGAATGTTTTTTCTTAGGCTTAGTTTTTTCTGCTTCCTAACTGCAAACAAACTTAGGTAACAATTATGATTTTGTTTTTTTCCTAGCCATGAGTCCAATTGGAGATACATTTCGGAATCGATTACGGATGTTCCCTTCACTCATAAACTGCTGCACCATTGATTGGTTCCAAACCTGGCCTACAGATGCTTTGGAAATGGTTGCTAACAAGTTTTTAGAGGATGTTGAACTTGAAGATGACATTAGAAAAGAGTATGAGTTTATCTGTTAAGAAACATATGAAGCAAATGTTTGTTCCCTTCCCCCTCGCACCCCCAACATCCTTGATCAGGAAACTGTCCTTATAAATGGACAATGCTAAGCCAACTCTGGGATTTCAGTGCAAGTAAAAGATATCTACATCTATGTATCTGATGTTTCTGAAAACCAGGCCACTCTTCGAAAGCAGTCTAAGATATTTCTTGTAAGGGGAAAAAACAATTCTGCCTTCACCAACAATAATCTAATTTCATTGGAGTCATTTCCTCATAATTAACATAAAGACAGATTGTATTTTCATAGTAATGTGGAAACATTTTCTCTAGGGTTGTGTCAATGTGCAAATATTTCCAAGAAAGTGTGAGAGAGCTCTCCATCAGCTATTACACTGTGCTGCAAAGACACAACTATGTGACACCAGCTTCATACTTGGAACTGATTCTTACCTTTAAGACTCTGCTGAATAGCAAAAGGCAAGAAGTTGACATGATGAGAACTCGTTACCTTATGGGACTTGAAAAACTTGAGTTTGCATCTTCCCAAGTAAGTTTCACATGAAAACACTGAATATGTGCCATATGCATGCTTTAGTATGGGGTCTGTATAAGCTGATTGAAACTTACAAAAATAAAACTTATTAAATTTCCTCTTCACTATATTCGTGATGCTACTGATAATTTTCTATAGAAAGCCAGCAGGAAAAGTTAGATTACTGCTTAGTCATTTTAGGGAATTGTGGTATATAAATTCAGATTATATCACTTAATAGAAAGCTACATGAAATTGATGGTACTCATTAAATATTGAAGGAATAAACCTTACAAATGTCGTTATTTTCTCAAAACCTTATATGGAGAATCGATGCCTCAGCATCCAAATACGTATTACCCTTTTCAAAATATGGGAGAAGCTGAAGAATATTGTAAGACAATAATAAACATTAATTCCTGAGTAGATTTCCAGTAGGAAATTAATCAGGTTCCAGGTAAATAACCCCCTTTTTCAACCCATGTGATCCAAGATGAAAAGCAAAGGGGCTTCCAGGTACTTGCTGGATGAAGAAGAACGTCCAGTTTGCCACTGTTGTTGTCTTCCAAGTGTCTTTTGGATTTTGTTTTCCACCTGTGCAATAAAGGATTACTTGGGGTTCCATAAATTGAAACTGACTGTGAGGAAAAAAATACAATTAGTCAATTTATTTGTCATCATTGAAATTAAGTGGATCATAAAAAAGCAAGCGTATTGCATGGATGATTAAAAAAATCCTTTCAAAAAATCTATTCAGTTAAATAAAACAGCTCTTAATAAAAATAGGCTAGAGAGCTATTTTAATAATTATTTAGATCAAATGTCCCTTTTTAGATTGTATTAATATAGTGCCTTCTGTTCTTTCTTCCTAATGCATACTGATGTGAAATGCATGCAATGTTTACACAAATTTCTTCTTGATTTCCTGTTATGTTCATCAGGTTGCAGAGATGCAGAAACAATTGACTGCCCTTCAGCCTGAACTGCTTCAGACTTCTGCAGAAACAGAGAAAATGATGATCCAAATTGAAAAGGAAACAACTGAAGTAGATGCAAAGAAGGAATTAGTTTCAGCAGATGAAAAGGAGGCTAATGAAGCAGCAGCTGTTGCTAAAGCTATTAAGGTAGTGTACAAGGGCTTGAGCCTTCATGGATTCCGAGGCTTTCCAAGTAAATGGGAGTTGTGATGATGTGTTAATGGTATGATCCAAGCTCTTAAAGTAACAAAGTTGTTAGCTGATGGTGAATGAGATGTTCCTAGTATAAACAAGGTAAATTTTGGCTGTTTCGAGTATGACTCTATCTCACAGTACTGCATAGCTTCCATTTCTAGTTCACATCCGAAAAGCTGTATAGCTCCTATTTCTGTACTAATACATTCTCCTTCTCAACAGATTGAGTAATGAAGTTATACTGTTTCCAGGCCCAAAGACGGTTTAGAGTTAGCTGAGGTAATTTGGCATAGCACTGTCTGGAACCCTGTTAGGCATAACCTAAGAGATATTGCTATAACCAGACATCTATAGCACAGAATTTCCCATGGGAAGCTGTAGGATTCCTCAATATTTTTTTTTGTAACTAGTTGGAAATGTCAGTGATAGATAAGACAGATAATTACTGAGATCTGAGTACATGATAAAGAATTTAAGCTACACAGTATATATTTTTACTTGATCAGCACTGTAAGATTTAACTAAGAACAGCTGTATCTAACCTGTATTTTAATTCTTGTCAGACGTGAGAGACTTTGATCTTGAAAGCTTGTCTGGCTTTTTGAGCTATCAGTTCAGCTTATGGAAGGTACTAATTTCTCTACAAACCTTCTCTCTTTAAACTGCACAGATAAATTGTGAAAGTAGTTTTCTCTCCAAGAAACACAATGTTGTGAAGAGTCTTTTTATTAGGTACTTGTAAGCAGAGAAGGTTCTCTGAGCCTGTGCTGGAGTGGGGTAAACAGGCTGCAGACATGGTACTGTAGGAAGGTTTACAGGCTTCTGCCCAATGTCTTAACAGGACGAATGTGAAGGAGACCTTGCTGAGGCCATGCCAGCTTTGGAGGCAGCACTTGCAGCTCTTGATACCCTGAATCCTTCAGACATCTCTCTTGTGAAATCCATGCAGAATCCACCTGGTCCTGTTAAGCTCGTCATGGAGAGTATCTGTGTCATGAAGGGAACTAAACCAGACAGAAAGCCTGATCCAAGTGGCAGTGGTAATGATGCAGTATTTGTTATCCTTGCCCTAGGAATGCTTGGGGTGCTGCTGTGTGGTACTAGTGAAGTGCTTCTGGTGTGACTGCAGTCATGTGCACTAGAAGTGCATTTTGCTAGCAATGACTTACAACCACGCTGAATAGTTAAGAGCTGCTTTTGCCGTTGTAACATACTGCACTTGCTTGACACTGTTGTACAAACTTTGTAAACACGATCCCAGTCACCAGCACAAAGTCATCTCTTCAACTTGCTTTGAGCCAATCTCAAGATTTGCATTGCCTTGAGGGAACTCTGGGAGCTGGAGATGTGCTGTGCACCATTCACCTGTATTTTCCCCTCTAATCTCTGCTACCAAACTCTTATCAGTTATACTGGGAGACAGAATTCTAGGTATACCCCTGCCATAGCTGATGACTCTTAACAAGCTCTTTCTGTGTGGGTTATGTTTTTACTGTGGGATTGCACAGGATTTGCAAGGTAGGAGAGGAAATAGACCTTTTTCTTTCACTTTTCTTCTACCTTATGCCCTCACAGTTCAACCCGTCACAATTGAAAATAAGAATTCTATAAATGTCTTTCATCCAAAACTGTCTTACCTAGGTTAGGAAGGAATGCTTTCACATAGTTACTGATTTAGCTAATAACCTATGCTAAGAAAGACTGTATAGTAATTTGTTTTCCTTATTTTGCTTGGTTGATGTAGAATTAATACAGAATTAATAAATATGACAGGTTAGTGATGCTGAAGTTCCTGTCTGAATGTCTTTAGGAAATGATTTTCTGAAACTAGTTAACAGGGGTTGCATAGTAAAATTCTGTTGCAAAATCATTAATGTTAATTCTTCATATTATGTTTCAAGGATTTTTTCAGTTTGAACATGGATGTTTTAAACCTGACTTCAGTATTATTTGCAATATAGGTAAAATGATAGAGGACTACTGGGGACCATCTAGAAAAATTCTTGGAGATCTGAAATTCCTTGAGAGCTTGAAGACGTATGACAAGGATAATATTCCTCCTGCAATAATGAAGAGAATTAGAGAGAGGTTTATTGATCATCCAGATTTTCAGCCAGCTGTTATAAAAAATGTCTCATCTGCCTGTGAAGGACTATGCAAGTGGGTGCGAGCCATGGAGGTATATGACCGTGTTGCAAAAGTGGTTGCCCCAAAGCGCGAACGTTTGAGAGCTGCAGAAGAAATGCTGGGCATTCAAATGCAGAAGCTAAACACAAAACAAGCAGAACTTAAGGAGGTAGTTGATCGTCTGCAAGATTTGAATGATGAGTTTGACAAAATGAATGACCGGAAGAGAGAATTAGAAAATAATATTGAAGTCTGTTCACAAAAGCTTGTCAGAGCTGAACAACTAATTAGTGGTCTTGGTGGAGAGAAAGATAGGTGGACAGAAGCTGCTCGATTATTAGGAATTCGGTACATAGACCTTATAGGAGATGTGCTGTTATCATCAGGAACTGTGGCTTATTTGGGAGCCTTTACTGTCGACTACCGCTTAAAATGTCAAAAGCAATGGCAGGTCCTGTGCAATGAAAAAAACATACCGTGCTCTAGCGATTTTAGCTTAAGTAATACATTAGGGGATCCAGTCAAAATCCGTGCGTGGCAGATTGCTGGATTGCCAGTTGATTCTTTTTCTGTTGAAAATGGCATAATTGTTTCTAACTCAAGAAGATGGGCTTTAATGATAGATCCTCAAAGACAAGCTAACAAGTGGATAAAAAACATGGAGAAAACGAACAGGCTGTCAGTTATCAAATTAACTGACACACATTATGTGAGGACATTAGAAAATGCTATTCAGCTTGGAACACCAGTCTTACTAGAAAATATTGGTGAAGAACTAGATGCTTTCATCGAACCCATTTTATTAAAGCTAACTTTCAAACAGCAAGGAGTAGAATACATGAAATTAGGGGAAAATATAATTGAATATTCAAAGGATTTTAGGTTTTACCTAACAACCCGCTTAAGAAATCCTCATTATCTTCCTGAAGTGGCTGTGAAAGTTTGTCTACTCAACTTCATGATTACACCTGTGGGTCTTCAGGACCAGCTTCTTGGAATTGTAGCTGCAAAGGAAAAGCCTGAGCTAGAAGAAAAGAAAAATAAACTGATTGTAGAAAGTGCAGCTAACAAGAAACAACTAAAGGAAATAGAAGATAAAATCCTGGAGATTCTTTCCAATTCAGAGGGAAACATCTTAGAAGATGAAACAGCAATTAATATTTTGTCTTCATCCAAAGAGTTATCTGAAGAAATCTCCGAAAAGCAAAAAATTTCCTCTGTAACTGAGATGCAGATAGACTCTACTCGAATAGGGTATAAGCCAGTTGCTGTTCATTCAGCTGTTGTTTTCTTCTGCATCTCTGATTTGGCAAACATAGAACCTGTGTACCAGTATTCGTTGATTTGGTTCATTAACTTGTATGTTCATTCTATTGCTGAAAGCAAAAAGAGTGAAGATCTAGAAGAGAGAATTAAAAATATAACCGAGCATTTCACAATAAGCATCTATAATAATGTCTGTCGTTCACTGTTTGAAAAGGACAAGCTGTTATTCTCCTTTGGCTGTCTGACAAATCATGGGCTGAGCTCATACGTGCGTCTAGTCTGACAAACCTCCAGGGACTAATGGAACATGTAAGAGAGAATTTTTCAAAGTGGAAACTAATATATGACTCTTTAAGACCTCATGAAGAAACCTTCCCAGATGCATGGAGCACACTGATGGGATTAGATCGCATGGTTGTTCTCAGATGTTTGAGACCTGACAAAATTATTTCAGCAGTGCAGGAGTTCATTGTGGAAAATATGGGAAGAACGTTTATTGAACCACCTGCTTTTGATCTTAGAAGAAGTTACAGTGATTCAAATTGTTGTGCCCCTTTGATTTTTGTATTGTCACCAGGTGCTGATCCTATGGCAGGTGAGATTGGTATTAAAAAATTCTTTTTTTTATCTGGTTAAATGTCATTGAGTGTGACTAAACCGTTAATAGTGTAGGCCCCTTCGTTTGATCTTTAAAGTATAATACAGCTATGGTGGAATTGCATCTGCCCATATATAAACAATGACAGTAAAATTGCTAGAGGGTGGAATGAATGTAGTGGTGATGAAATGTCTCTGAGCAGCAATTTAGGGATCTAACAGCTTGTAACATCCAGACCAGTTTATAATTTATGCTTGCATTACAATTCTTTCAGTGGGTGTTTAGGACGTGCCCCAGTCTTTGTTGCAATCCCTTCTCCAGAAAGTTTCCTCCCTCTCAGTTACTAATTAAATGGTGTGTATGACCACACTTAAAAACACATCTGTTAAATGTCCTTTAAAAAATAACCACCCAGATTATTTTTAAACCTGTTTTTTTACTAAAAGAATTGTAATATGGAGCCATACCATCAGGATGTATTTCCAGGATGTACTGGTTTTGATGGCAAAGCTGCGGGGCTATTTTTAAGCAGATCTAAAGATCCAATTTACAGCTCAACCCCCATAAAAAATTGTACCCATGCAACAGCGAGTAGAGAGCTGTAGCGCAGGCTAGAAATGAGCACTTGGGGCTAAAGGAGAGGACAGTCATTTAACCTGGCTAGTTATTGTGGTATTCTGTTTTTAGTATTACTTATACACCTAAATTTTAGCATGTGCCGCAGAAACACAGTGACTGATGCAGCATTTGATACTACTTCTAGGTTGATTTGGTAGGCACTTTTTTCAGTTGAGTAAAATATTTGTTGACTTTTGTCCCTTTAATTAATTTTTACATTATAAAAATGATGAACATAACAGAAATCTACTTTCTAATAGAATTTGTCTTTGTTTGCATGTGTGAAACTTGCCATCCTAGGTTTGCTAAAATTTGCTGATGATATTGGCATGGGAGGTGCAAATATTCAAACTATTTCGCTTGGACAGGGCCAAGGCCCAATAGCAGCAAAAATGATTTATCAGGCTATTACTGATGGAACCTGGGTAGTGTTACAAAACTGCCATCTTGCAACTAGCTGGATGCCTGCTTTGGAAAAAATCTGTGAGGAAGTTATAGTGCCTGACAGTACCAATGATAAGTTCAGGTAGGGGTTCTAATATTTTGCTCTTTTTAATGGGAGTATTTCTTGTTTGCTGAAGAGATTAGTAAAAAGAAATGAAACTGCTTTTGTGTGAACAACTAATATAACATTCGTATTGTTTATGTGCAGTGATAAAATAAAGAGACCTAATTAGGATGTCATCTTTTTAGCTGTCCAATATAATCTGCTTTATGCCTGCATTTTAGAACAAATTTAGATGTTTTCATTATAGTCAAGCAAGTAATAAAACTTAGTCTTCTTCAGATCAATATTAAGGATTTTTCAATATTGCTGATTTTTTTGATAATGTGCTTTTTAAAATTCTTTTCAGGTTGTGGTTAACTAGTTATCCATCAGAAAAGTTTCCTGTTAGTATTCTTCAGAATGGCATCAAAATGACAAATGAGCCTCCAAAAGGAGTTAGAGCGAACCTTCTTCGATCGTACCTTAATGACCCCATCTCCGACCCTGTGTTCTTCAGCAGTTGCCAAAAGCCAGAAATGTGGCAAAAACTGCTGTTTGGCCTTTGCTTTTTTCATGCTGTTGTGCAGGAAAGGAGAAGCTTTGGCCCACTGGGTAAGTTTTAGATTATTTTGCAGGTTGTTTCAAAAAGATCAGTAGTTTTGAAATGTATTATTGGAACCTCTCTGTAAAAAGGCAGTATTGTTGTTAGCAATATTACAAGAGTGCAATCTGTATTGCACAGAACATCATGAAGTTTACAAGCTGTTATTTATAGGGATTATTATTTAGGCAAAGCTACTCCTGAAGCTACTAAAGTATTACCCTGGGGAAGGACTAGAAAACACCAGTTTTCCAAGTAAATATATTATACAGTTGTTATATTAAATTATAGCTTACGAAATCATTAATTTATTGCTGTAGTTCTTACCACGAAATCCAGTTCCATTTTAGATTGTCATAATTAAAGATGTGTCTTCTTCAATTCTGCTTTTGTTATTAAGGTGTATACTTCATTTTATCAAGGTTAGTGCATGTGTTTACTTGGTGTGAAACAAATTTATGTAGCTGCAGTGTATTCATAACACAGCAATGAAAAGATACGTATGAGTAAGATTCGTGCTTTCAGATTTTCTGTAATATTGAAATATTTGGAAGACTATATAGAATTTCTACATTCAATACAGAAATGTATGGAATTATAGATTCCATTTTTGTAACTATATAAAGCTTACGCTCTCCACTGGTGTACATGAAGTTCTCAGCCTTCCATTCTGACTGAGTCTGACTTCCTCATAACAGGTTAATGTTACAAAATGTTATATTTTGACTGAAAGCCATTGTCCTTATTTTAATAGGCAGCTGTTCAAATGAACGCTTGACTGCCAGTATGAAAATACAAATTTATTGCTTAAAATAAAAGTATGTTTTGAAAGTGACAAAGAGGTCATTTTCAAAAGCAACATCTACTGCTTACTGTGACCAGCTGTCTGGGTAAGAAGGGTGGTTGCAGCAATAGCCCTATTTTTTGGTCGCACTAGGGGTTTAGGTTTTCTGATGGATTCTTTTATCTGGAGTATGCTCCTGTGTGGTTTGTTTTTTTTAATTGTACTGTTACTCTGAAAGTCATCTACAAACAGCATTAATAGATGGGCAGATTGATTAAAAATTAAAATCAATCGATGAATTAAAACTCCTGTCATTTCCAGAGTGCAACAGATTAGCTGAAAGTACCAAGCAGGTCTGTACTCTACTTAAGGTAAAATATAATTTTTCAGGAGTATGTGATGCCAAATGCCTGTGCTTGTGTTTTAATTCTATAGAAGGATGGTAATGGTGCCTTAGGCTACAATATTGTTATGGAGTCATATTGTCCCTTGTGCAATAAACAGCCTGGTAAATTCCAGGGCTGCTTCTAGCTATTGTCTGGCAGCTGTTATCTTCAGATCTGTAGTAGCAATATAGTACCAATACCATCATTTTCTGAGCATAGTTGTCAGTACAGTGCACCATTGCCCTGTATATGTTTTCTGAATTGAACAGGTTGGAATATTCCGTATGAGTTCAGTGAATCTGACCTCAGAATCAGTATGCGACAGATCCAGATGTTTCTGAATGAATATGAAGAAATCCCATTTGAAGCTCTGACATATCTAACAGGTACAGGCATTACACCCTCTAATATGTGTTGACTTTACTAGGCACTTTCAGCTGGTACAGTGATAAACTGGTGAGTTACAGAATCACAGAATGGTAGGGGTTGGAAGGGACCTCTGTGGGTCATCTAGTCCAATCCCCCTGCTGAAGCAGGGTCACCTACAGCAGGCTGCACAGGACCGCGTCCAGGCAGGTCTTGAATATCTCCAGAGAAGGAGACTCCACAACCTCCCTGGGCAGCCTGTTCCAGTGCTCCGTCACCCTCAGAGGGAAGAAGTTCTTCCTCATGTTCAGACAGAACTTCCTATGCCTCAGTTTGTGCCCATTGCCCCTTGTCCTGTCGCTGGGCACCACTGAAAAGAGTCTGGCCCCATCCTCCTGACACCCACCCTTGAGATATTTATAAGCATATATTAGGTCCCCTCGCAGCCTTCTCTTCTTCAGGCTAACAAGCCCAGCTCCCTCAGCCTTTCCTCATAGGACAGATGCTCCAGTCCCCTCACCATCCTCGTAGCCTTCTGCTGGACTCTCTCCAGTAGCTCCTCATCTTTCTTGAAGTGGGGAGCCCAGAACTGGACACAGTACTCCAGATGGGGCCTCACTAGGGCAGAGTAGAGGGGGAGGAGAACCTCCCTTGACCTCCTCGCCACACTTTTTATTGAGTGGATTCCATTCTGGTTTACTTTCTTGGCCTTCACATACAGATAAGTTGGATCCCAAAAACTCAGATGTCTTTGCTGTCTTGGCTTATATATAGCTAGAAGAATTACTAATGGTCCAGCAAACCTCCTGGTCTTTGTTTCATATATGTCAAATAAAAACATCAATGGCCTCTGATCCTGACACAGTAAGCATTGACAGTTTACCTGAGGATGTGATAATACTCATCAGTTTAGAGCAGGAGGTGTTGACCTGTGTAAAGAACTTGGTTGCTGTGGCTATTCAGTTCTTTTTCTCCAGAAAGACAGCTGCTTTTGGCACCTCCTTTGTCAACCCTATGAAGATCATTCCTGATTTTTGCTAATATTATGAATAGCTTTATGAAAAATAATTTTGGGAGTCAGGACTGAAGTAATAACTGTGAACTTCTGGCTGTTTTCTGTACTTTACATCAGTGTAAACCTCCCCTCATTGCTTGGACATTACTTAAATGTCCCCAACGCCTTCTGCACAGTGGTATTGCATATTTCTGATCGGTTTTCTACTGTATACATACATAATCAAGTGAAGTTTGCATGAAAGGAACTACTGTGGCATGAGTAGCAGTTTCTCACACCAACTCACAATGTTCCTAGAACCTTTCATCAAGACACACAAATTGGACCCATAGTTCCAAAGGTGTTGTTAAAGTGCCTAATTTCTGTTGAATCAGTTGAAGTATAGGACCTAAAATCTTTTGAAGATCTGGAGCATCGGAACTTACTGGAGCTATACATTATTGCAAAACAATTTTTATTTGTTCATTCACTTTCAGTTTTTCATCCTGGTTTTCTTTGTTCTTTCCCAGGGGAATGTAACTATGGAGGTAGAGTAACAGATGACAAAGACAGGCGTCTGCTCCTGTCGCTTCTTTCCATAGTCTATAGCAAGGATATAGAGCAGGACAAGTATATGCTTACAGCTGGAGATGACTACTACATCCCACAACATGGTCCCTATGAGGTGAGAAGATAACAGATGTAAATTCTTTCTGAGGTACTGGGGAGAAACCTTAGCTAAACTGTACTTTGATATGATGAATACAACAAATGGAAAGAAAAAAACCAAGATAATATCACAAAGCCATGCCAGAATATATCTTATGTATGAAATATGAACCTGGCATTTAATATCTAACACACCCCAATGGAGATGTCTCATCATCCAATATTCTGATGTTTATTGATGCAAAGAGCTGCCCCTGTGCAGGTTTCCAGTATAGTTCTAGAAAGCCAATAGGAGTCAGGCTTCAGGAATTTACAGGGCACTCTGCACCCTCTTGCAAACACGTTTGCCTGGAAAGCAGTGGTCAGGATGAGGAGGTGGAATGACAGGTACATACTCAATTTTCATCCCCTTTTTCCCTTCTAACAACTGCATAGAGATAACGCGTGTGCTCAAATCCCATGTATTTGTGCAGCCTGCAGTTGCAGGGGTGACACCTACAGCATGCTACCCTCTTCTGTGACCCCCACCAGCACTCCTTGTATATTTCTAATGTACATCCCTTTCTCTTGCTTTCTTTTGCTGCTTACATGAGGGTGGTAAGAACAACTCCTCAGTGAGTCTTTGAATCATTCAAAACTTTTATATTTATCTCTGTTGAGTACGTCAATTCCTGGACTCGTTTAACTGGGAACTAACGTGTTTGATTGTAAATGGGAAGGTTCTGTCCAAGTTAGGTTTACTGATCGTTTATGAATATAACATTACATGATTTTTGGTATCTAAACGTCTCTTTTACAGTCTTATATTGAATATATACAAAGCTTACCAATTACAACACACCCTGAAGTGTTTGGACTTCATGAAAATGCAGACATCACGAAGGATAACCAGGAGACTAACCAGCTTTTCCGTGGAGTGCTCCTGACTTTGCCTAGAGAAGCACAGGGAGGTGGCAAGTCCCCTCAGGTAACTGGGGAAGAAAGATCAACATGCACTCTGGAAAGGTGCCCCTTCCTGTCATGTCCCAGGTCTCAGAGTAATCCAACACCTCTCATCACGACTGTGTCACTGGGAGTAGATGTGAATGTCTCTGTAGAGAAGCAGACAGATTTGTCATAGAAGAACCTTTAAAGATGGAAGATACCCCGATGACTTTGAATTCAGATAGGTTAATACCACACAACCCCATCTGGTTGAGTAGAACATGCAGTTTGAATAAGAATGTTTCTTTCATATTTAATGTTTTAAAAGAACAGTGAAGTGTTTCAGTCATGAATTGTAGTTAGAGCACAGTTAACAATCACAATTGGTAAAGCACCTCAAATTATGTCCATCTCTAGGCATTTTTAAGTATGACGTTTAATTCCAGTCTACAAATTCCAGTGGTGGAGGTTCATGCACTGGCCTGACTTCCTCCAGCAGTGGTTGTGTGACTATCCCTGCCATTCTCACTAGGGGACAGGCTCCAGAGAGCCAGGAAATTATATCAAGTCATTCAGCCATCAGGCAAACAATATAAGCCCATTAGAGGCAGAAGTTATCTTCCTGGTGAAGTCTGTGCTAGAATGGCACTTCCAGTCTGTTATTACTGATTGAATGCTTGGGTTTTGAGATACGATTTTTTGCTTCCCCTTGGCTGCTTCAGTTTCTACAGTCCCAAACATTTCACTGTGTTTGTGACTTGTGTGGCACAAAGAAGGGGGCAGTTTGGCAGAATGGAATCACTTGGATGTAGACCTCACTGTCATCTGCCCCTCCATGGGACCTGATTGTGAAGAATTTCTGGGAATTTCTTTCCTTCATCCTATCTTGGCAGCTCAGGTTACTCAGGCCAAATCCATGCCCCTTTGAGACATAGATAAATGACCCTTCAAGGCCCTCAGATTTGACATCCTATATTTTATACACAAGTGGATTCTTGAAAAGTGGAATCGATGGAGCCTCATTTCCTGCAGTCTAGTGATTGTAGTCTCTGATGTCTAATATGCTATAAATGAAGCTTCTCTCTGGCTAGGGTATTCATATGGTCACCCCATCATTTTCCCCGTGTTGCATGCTTTGTCTTCTCCTTCATTGTGGCAGTAGTAGGGCTATGCTTGTCGTCTGCCCTGCTGCCTGTTTCCTTACAAGTTGCCTAAAACGTTTTTGCAAATTAAACCAAAATTACTAACAAATTTTAAATTATTGAGAAGGGAAAAGGAGCAAGCAGGCACATGCAGAGACAGACAGACAGGACGATGCACAGAGAGAGTAAAGCATGTAAGCATTATTTAGGAAAATAGACTAGAGTACCTATGTGGTGGCACAGAAAAAAATAAAAGATCTATAGTGTTTTGCGGAATTTATTGAATAGAAATAGGTGAAAAAAAGGGAAATCCCTCATTTACTGCAAACTTGTGATTTCAGGAAACTGTTGAAGATTTGGCACAGGACATCCTATCCAAATTACCAAGTGGCTTTGATATTGAAGAGGTTATGAAGGTATACCCAGTACTTTACGAAGAGTCCATGAATACAGTTCTTAGGCAAGAGCTAATTCGATTTAACAGGTATGGCGGCTCAGTGTTTTGTGTAGCATTACTAATACTGAAATATGCTTGTGTTGATCAGTGCTAGCCACTCAGAAGCCTTAAACAGTTATAAGCCTTTTGCAATACATTGTTCTTACCATGATAGATTCTGCTTTGGATGAACCTCTTAAAAAGACTTGAAAGCTGCTGCTGACAACCTGGATATAGAAATACTACCTATATTCTTGGAGTATGAACTTAAATTTAATGAAATGTTTGTTGTGTTGAGGTAGAGCAGCCTACTTTATTCCTTTTAAGTCATACCCAGGCCCCAATATTCACAGCACACTATGTTAATTAGCGTTACAATCTTTAAAGCTCTTGTCGCTTGATTTCACTTGTCTAGAATGGGAATTTTCACTATTTTTAATTTCTCTGTGTGTGTTTTTTCTTTGATTGTTTTTCCAAAGTTAAGTAAGGGTTTTGATAACTATGGGTGAGATAAGGAATTTCTGACAGGACAATTAGCTTTGTTCGGCCCTTCATTCAAGTTGGACTCAGAGGTCTTTAGCCAGATAGTAAGAAGTAAATAATGAGATGACAATTTCCTTGTTTTATCTGAAGGCTTACTGAAGTTGTTCGGAGCAGCCTCATTAATTTAGGCAGAGCTATTAAAGGCCAAGTGTTGATGTCATCTGAACTTGAAGATGTTTTCAACAGCATGCTAATGGGAAAAGTACCATCAATGTGGGCTGCCAAGTCCTATCCATCATTGAAGCCACTGGGAAGTTACGTGTCTGATCTGCTCTGTCGTTTGGCCTTCTTGCAGGTATGCTGAACTGAGACTGACAGGTCTAAGGACTCGGTAGTTGAAAGCTGAATGGGTAAAATGTGTATCAGTACTGTCCTCGCTCAGCAGTACCCTTACAGCTCCAGACTGTGCGCTACTTACACATACTCATGACCAAATATACCCTGCAGTAACAGCACTGAAATTAGCTGGGCAGTTGCTCAGCAGGGTGAGTTGTGAGTATAATCCTTTGGTGCTAATCCAGTGCTGTATTTGGTAGTTTCCATTTTTCTACTTCTAAAAGATGCATTTTACTTTGCATTGATGTCTTAATGACTTTTCTGCTCAAAGGACACTGAACCATATGTGAGAATGCTTTAGAAATAGTGCATAACAGGCACTATTCAATTTTACATATATGACTGTAAATCTCTTTCAAGTTTAATAAAAAGTGACACCACTACCAGACTCTTTTTGAACAAGCTATTTTATTCTTTACTCACCCGTCGATTATTTCCCTTGCATACTTAGCACTCCCTTTAAATGACTTAAAATTTCAGATTTGCTTTAAATGGCTGAGGTACTGAGATGTAGTGGAACCCCATACAGGGAGTATGGGGTTCCACTACCCCAGGGGAGGAGAAAGCTAGGAAGAAGTGTCTGAAAGATTTGTATAAGCAGCAGAGTTTCCTGTTTGCTGGATCAGAGTACCATATGGGCTTCTTTTGACTCCAGATGGCTTAGAGTAGTGTGGGGACATTCTGCACTTGCCTTGTTTTTCCTACTGCCTTTGTGATACCCAACAAAGATACTGGCTCTAGATCTCTCTGTCTGGCATCTTTGTACTGAAATGACTTTCTCTACTAGGATCTGATGTGTTGGCTGTAGTGAGTGCCCTCACAACGATCATTATACTATGTATGAAAATTTGGCCTTTTTTCATGTTAGGAGATTGGTGTTTACAAGACTATAAAAGACTGTATATTGATAAGTGTCCAAATTCAATCTTTTTTCTTTTTTTGCTGGCTCATATCTAGACTTACCAATATATGCTTATAATACTTTCTGAAATTTCATTCTCAGTAGCACTGAGTTCTGGTCGTTTCAGAATGAGTGATTATTTTTGTTGTCATCATAAATAACTGACTTCTCTAATTTGTTTTCTCTGAAAAATATAGAACTAATGGTAGTATCCAGAGGGTCCCATCGAGGTTTAGATCTCATTGTGCTGTTTGAGTGTATCTGAAAAGACATCCCTTTTCTGGTGAATTGGCACAGTGAAGCCACATGTGTATTTTTTCTTACATTTGTTTTTTCTTTCCATATTCAGGATTGGATCATCAATGGGCCACCCACAGTCTTTTGGCTTTCAGGATTCTTCTTCACTCAGTCTTTTTTGACTGGTGTTCTACAAAACTATGCCAGAAAATACTCCATCCCAATTGACCATATTGGATTTGAATTTGAGGTAAGAAAATGCAGAGGCATTGTGTTTTTCTTGAACATCTTGAAACATGTTCTGGGGCAGCAAGGAATAGAGTTTTGAAATTAAAAGAAATTTTATTTAAAGGAGTAATTTCAGACTCTCACTTATAGGATTTAATATACTCCAGATAAAAATTAAATCAAGCAATGGTATTGGTATATCATTCTAGGTGATGAAACAGGAGTACACGATGGAGAAAATGCCAGAAGATGGGGCTTACGTGAGAGGCCTTTTTTTGGAAGGTGCACGATGGGATAGAGAATCCTTGGTAATTGGAGAACCACTTCCAAAAATCCTCTATGATTCTTTGCCCATAATATGGCTGAAACCTGGAGAAAGTTCCAGATTTCTTCATATGAACATCTATTCATGCCCTGTATACAAGACAAGTGCAAGAAGAGGTGTCTTATCCACTACTGGCCACTCAACCAACTATGTTTTCTCAATTGAACTCCCTTCAGACAAGCCCCAGAAACACTGGATAAATCGAGGTGTGGCAGCACTATGCCAGTTAGACGACTGAGAGTACACAAGTCAAAACACTCACATTTTGTTACTAACAGATATACTTTACTCCCTAATGGCTGAATTTTTTTTTTTTTTGGATCAGGATTTCCGTCTGACTTCAAAGCGGTTCCCAAATGCCTTTTTTTTTAAGCTATTATCAGCCACTAAGCAAGAGTAAGTGAATATAGCACACTACAAACAGAAACTTATTTCAAAGGCCCGGGCTTTGTCTTGCAATAAATCAGAATGAACAGAACTCCCATCAAACTGTGTGCCACCCACATTATTACAAATCTTGTGAAATCCTAATATTACCACCTAGCTGCTACCATAGGGCTTTTTTTTTTTTTAAATGAAATTAGGCCCAAAGAGTTTTGCTGCTGTTTTTAATGGGAATCTAATCCACAACTCACAAATAAGGCTCTGTGGATTTGCCTGTGTCCCAGGAGTATGTAGGGCAAGGAGGGAGGAGATGAGAATAGTCTGTTGTCAACATGTAAAACCAATCCTCAGCTAGAATGAACTGCCAGAGCTATGTTATAAAACTATAGTAACACACACTCCTTGAAGATGTGCCTCAAAATTTCCATGGAAAGCTTCTAGACAATACATGCATTGGGAGGCTGCCATTTCTCAGAGCAGTATGCTTGACTCATAATTTTTAAACTTTTTTTTTATTTCAGTGTTATTACCTACATGTCCCAGGTGTCTGATAAATAGAGCTGTGTACTTTCTCCCACAGTCTCATTTTACTTCCTCGTCTTTCCCTCATGCATGTTGGACTTAAAACCACCTGAAATTTTGTACTTGTTTAAGCCTTTTCATCAGAGAAGCTCAAAGTAGCTTGCAAACATTAATTAAAAATAAAATAGCCTGAACATCTTCAAAGAGCTGTGCAGTCATTAACTAATCCCCACAGCATGCCAAGAAGGTAGGAAAGATGGATCATTAGACTTGTTGTGTACACAGTACAAGAGAAGCACAAAGATCAAGGCAAACATTTAAAAAACCTCACAGCATAAACATCCACTAATTTGGGGTCTTGTTTTTTTTTTCACTGCTCAAATTGCAGCATTTTAATGACTTACTCGAGGCCTCACAAAGTCAGAGATTCAGCAGTTCCCAGTGTGCTGCTACAATCATTAAGTGATGCTGCTACAGCTCATTAAAACATATGGTTCTTGTCATAGGAATTTGCTGTTATAGGTGAAAGCAATGTTCATTATTGTTTTATTAACCACTGGTTTGTTTTATATAGATATTCATAAAATAGTAACTTTCAAGGACTGTAACATACAGGTAAGCAAGAAGTGTTACAGGTATGTTGTACAGTGCTGCTCTGCACAGAGCTATACATAGGTGATTAGTACGGTATCTTCATGTACCCTGTGTAGCACATTTGGTGCCTCATTACCAGTACAGTATGCAGGCATTTGGTGTGTCATTATTGTTATGTGGTGACAAGGGCAAAGATGTCAGGCCAGGACACTTAATGGAGATTTGTTCTAATAAAGGAGACAGAGGCGTGCAGGTGTTTCAACATCCTGATAGGAAGAAACTACTCTTAACAATTTAGACTAAATGGTATTTGGCACCTATAGCAAAAATAAAATGTGTTTATGAATGTTACAGCACAGTCACCCAAATTGAAAACAATTTTTTTCAGACGAGAATCATGTTTCAGAAGATCTATAAATAAATAAAGGTTAATTAAAATTGGTCCTTTAAAAACATAGACTTCGTAAGAGTAACACAGATACTTTCTACTTTTCGCATCATTAACTGAAATTTAGTACATATTTAAATACCCATTGTGGTAATTACCATATTTTTGGATGGCTGCATCTAATTGTTATGATTATCACATTAACAGTTCAGATCACTAATTAGGTTACTGTGGCATCAGAGATAACAAACCAGTCACGAGCCTCCTCTTACCAGTGCTTTGCATGCAGGCCAAAGAGGCTGGACCTGGCTGTTAGATCCTTCCCCGTGGACTGATCAGCTCAGTCGCTTCTCTTGGAAGGATTTTTCTATTTAGATTTGAGCTTCTGTGTGTAAGTGACTAGTGACAGCTTACCTGTCGCTGCTGAAGGCATGGCTGAAAGAGAACCTGGGGCAACAACAGAGTAACCATTCTCAAAACACTAAAATGAAGTGAAGCTGAAATTTGAGGACTGAGTTTCTCCATCCTTCAGATAACGATAGTCTTGCAAAAAGTCCTCTAAATTAAGCCATTTTAAATTAAAAGCCAGATTCACTAGTATATGCTAGCTAAATTACATTTTATGGAGATAAATTACTTTTAAACTGTTGGAAAATACTGTGGGATAGCTTGCCATGTGGGTTTCTTCTTAACGCCTTTGTTGTGAACAAACACTAATGGATAGTTTATTAAATGACACAGTTATTGTTCTTGTGAATATACAGTGGCTTTGCTACTACATTGTGTGCAATGTCCTTGTTACCGCGTTGATTTTCTAAATGCTTCCTCTGTGTTAATGTTTAGATTTGAGATGAAGGCAACTCTTAAAATGTAATTAAAGATGTATTTAAAGCTTTTGTAGATGTGACCAAAATATATAGATAAGAGAGAAGTCCATAAAAGAGGGTTCATGTATCTGCTGTTGCTGTGCCCCCTTCGCCGGGGATCAGGCATGGCTGAGTTGCTGTAGTGGGTGATTACTGAAGTACGCGATTTCCCGAGCTGCCCTTACTACTAGAGAAAAAGTAATGGAATTTACTGTTGAGGGGTATCTGTCTTGGAGATGTTTTTCCGTGGCTCTTTGAAAAGAGCTTCCCAACCTTATTTCCTGAGCATTGTCTAGACCTTGCTGAAGAACAATAAGCTGGCTAAACTTTAGAATTCACAACCTTTCTCGGCTGAGATGCATTAAAAAAAGAAAAAGGTAACTCAGCTGGTAGCTGGACATGATAAAAATGTGAAAAATTTTTGGACAAATGAAGGACCTTCTAATAGTAGTATTAGAATTCTTGGCCATTTACAGGCTTAGTATTTCCATTTCTTAATTAGAAACTCTCATTAAACAAACCACAGAAAACACCTGTAATTACTGGAAATCTTAGATTCACAGCCTTGCTAATAACTCAAAGCAGATGGGAAAAAATGCAGTATACTGACATTATGGAGCAAGAGATATTTTTTTGCTTAGAAATAGCAGAGACAGATTTTCAGCTAGGGATGCTGTAAGACAGATAAGGTTAGTACATTTTCTTAGGAGATGGAAACCTTTCTCTTATCTGTACAAGAATCCATTTCAGAAAGTACTCTCTGTTGATTTTAACACTGTTGGGCTGTTAAAGGGAAAATTACACAATGAAAAAGCAAAAGACAAAGGCCCCAAATTCTTCTACTTACAAGTTCCTAACAGCTAGAATGTTTTGCCTAATAGGATTAGAAAAATGAGTGAAAGGTGCAGGTCCCTCCTCCAATCACCATTCTTGAAAACGAATGTATAGGTGTGATCAAAGAAGTGACCTTTCTGTCCATGCATAAAAGATGGATGGTACTGATATCATTTCTGATGGATACCTAGTGGGGCCCCAAAAGAGTGAGGTCCAGGTTGCCTTATTTTTTCCAGATCTAAGAGGTATTACAAAAACAAGCTTTAGATAACCTAATCCATCTTAACCCATGTCAGTTCTGTGGTACTTCCTTGGGATAGATTGGGTCACTGCTGGAGCTTAACGAGCATTCCCTCTTGACAACACTGAGGGGGTACGTTCAGTAAGCAGGTGCTGAGTCCCTCTTCTTAAATGATAGTGTGCTTTCTAATGTTGGTGTTAAATGTGGTTTCATAAGCACACGGCTTCATAAATTAGAACCTTACTAATGATGGAGTTAGGGACAGAATTTCCAGAGAGGAGGTGTTATTTAGATATTAAAGGCCAGACATCATGTCAACAAATTACTACTGCATTGCCCACGGGTTAGCTTGCAGGAGACTTCATGCAACTGACTCAGGATTTTTATTCCTAAAGAACATAAAATTAATGTAATCTTTTTATTCTAAATTATTCTAAAGCATCTCCTAACTAGTATGATAAATTGGAAAGAGACACTATTTACTGGAAGGGGAGTAAGAGAAAGTTAGGGAAGTACAGGACAGAGGGTACGCTGACTGACTAAATCCAGTGCATTACAGGTGCTGGAGAACTCAGAGGCGTTTTTAGACATCTTTTTGCAAGTAAAATTAATGTGCAAGAATGACACATTGCACCATCGTTGGGGTACTTCTGGACAGAAGTTATATGGTCTTTAGAAATTAATGCAATGAGTACCAGTTGAGATGTCTGCCTAGCTGCTGGACCATGCTGCAGATTAATTTTTTTTTTAATGAAACTCCCTCATAATGGTAGTTTGCCAGTTTGACCTCAAAAAAAGGGGGGGGGGGATGACACACACTATTTGAGGCACATTCTCTTTTCCACGCAGAGTTTAACTTAACCTGTGAAAGCAGGGTTTTACTCTCCAGACGTGACAAAAGAGCTGATCTAATCCTTCCTTTAGCTGAACAGCCCGAGGTTTTAACAACTTTCAGTTTTTGCCTTTTGGTGCTGGAAAATAATGAGGCTGAGACACTAGTTATTAATTTCTCAAACACCTATTTTGAAAAATTAATGGGCATTTAAACCATCTCAGATAATGTGATGCTGTTGCTGCAGTTCAACTTACTGGCTTTTCAGTTAAGCAAGCGGATACTGATTTGAGTTACTCAGGCTACTTGAGCCTTTTTAAAATTGCTTACTTGTATTTCATTTCAGAAATAAACTCAAACTCATATTGTTATTTCAGTTTGGTGTAGATCTGGAATTTTAGGGAAGTTCTTTTGAAATAATCTAAATCTTACGGTATATGCTCAGGAAAGAGTTGTGACTATAATACAGAGAGTAAATTTAGACTCCTCATTTACATAGCTGTTTATTCACCTGGTGAGTCACAGCATCAGTACCTTCATTAGTCACATAAATTTCAACAATTAAAAAGATTCAAATGATAGTTTAATGACAAAGAATGAGCCTAAGCTTTCATTCAAAACTCTTGTCTGCA